TCCCTACCCACTACCAAGCTGGGTCCTGGAGAGATCTTGGCTCTGGGTGGGGGTCCTGGACCTGTTTTGAGGGATCTTCTTGGCATGGTCGTGGTTAGGCTCTGAGAACTGTGGTGTTGAAGGAACATCTGACACCCCTTGGGGCCCCAGCCAAAGCCACCCCCCACTCCTCCCAGACCTTGACGTGGCTGTTTTCTTGCTTCTGCCCTGCTCAGTCCTGGGACAGCTTCTTCCGGAAAGCCAGTGAGGAAGGCTCTTGTGTCCCGGCTCAGCCACTGCTCTCCTTCCTTGTCCCCGAGAGCAGGCCAGCAGTCTCAAGCCGGACCAAGACCAGCAAGTTGGTGGAGGACCACCTGGCTGTGCAGTCCCTGATCCGGGCCTACCAGGTGAGCAGCTTGGAGGGCACAGGCTGTGAGGTTGGACTGACTCCTGGAGTGTGTCCAGGTGCTGATGGAAAGGGAACTCTCTCAGGGAACTCGCTCAGCTCCAGCATCATCTCCTTAGAGAGCCCTTCTCCAAGCCCTCTGTCAGGTGGCTCTCACTCCTCCTGCTACTCTTTGTCACATTACTGTGTCACTTACCACCCCCTGGGCTTTTTTATGTGTGGTCTTCCTCATGGAATATTATCTGTCTCACACACCACTGTGCCCCAGGTAACTAGAGGAGGACTTAGTAAATAATCAATATCAGCAAATGTTGAATGAAAGTTGAGTAGCATGTTTGTTTTCTTCTCTTGACTAAGCATTCCAAGAGGACAGGGACTGATATACAGCAGGTGCTTAATTAGTGTTTATAGAATGAATGAATATTTCAGTAAACAGCTCTCTTTCTACCAGCTGCTCTGTTCTGAAGACTTAAGTTCTTCCCAGCGGGTCCCCAGGCTGGGCCCTTGCTCTGCCAAAGAGCCTTGGTTATGTTCCATATTATTGGTCTTGACTGAACAGGACTAATTGGAGGGTTGCTCTGGGTGTTCACTCCAAAACAAGTGTAGTCATTTGGGATCTCCCTGGGAATCAGTGGCAGAAGGTATTTCATAAGAGAAAGTTGTTTTACAGACACACAGAAGGAAGGGCGAGGGCATCCTGGATCCCCTGGCAGAGACTCCATGGGAGGTAGCAGCAAGCCACTGCAGGAGCTGAGGGGTGGGGAGGCCTTAGCAAATGGAAATGGTGCCTTGCCTCTGAGTGAGGCATTCTGTGGGATGGCAGCTGCACTCCTTGTGCACCAACTGTGCTGAGATGGAAGAGGGAATGCGAGCAGGACTCATGGATTCTGGGCCACCTGGGAGCAAACAGCAGTAGTTATAATTGTGTTTTCTTGGGTGGCTGAAAGAAGCAGAAGATGATCTTAACCATTTTGAAAACAAAGACAAAGAATATAAAACTCTATGTTATATACAAGTTAACAGTTCAGAGTGCTGCCTAAGGGACTTATCTCCTAAGCATAGTTCTCAGCTCTTCAGCTTCTATTTGTTATTTAACTAGGGAAGACTAAACTCTAGAGAGGCCTTCCAGCAGAATAGTCTCTGGATTCAGGCATGTTACTCTGTATCTGCATGGTAAAAATTCGCGGAAGGTTGTGGCTGATGGTTGGCACCCCCCGGGGCGGCTGCAGCCCCTCACAGGCTAGTAGGAGGCAGGGTTCTGGTTTGACTCATCTGTACACAGCACTGAAGAAAACTCAAACATTATTATGAACATTTTCAAACATGAAGGGTAGAAAATTTGTGTAGTGAACCCCTACACCCATCAATACAGGACTGGTCTTGACTCATCTATTGCCCACCTTTGGCTCTACCCACTGGCCACTAATTATTTTGAAGCAAATCCCAGACATCATTTCATTCATCAAACATTTCAGCATGTATTGCTAGAGATAAAGGGTCTTTAAAAAATATACCACGATGGCATTATCACACCTTAAAATAATAACAATAACTTTTAATGTCATCAAACATCCAGTTGACATTCGTGTTTGCCTAGTTGTCTTACGATTTCTTTTTACTGATTATTTGGATCTGGATCCAAATAAAGCCACAGGTTGTGATAGGTTGATGTGACTCTTAAATCTCTTGTACTCTGCAGGTTCCTCTCTATTTCTTTTTGTGTTCCTTGTCATTTTTGTGTGGAAGAAACCAGATTGTTTGTCCTGTAGAATTTTCCTGAGTCTGGCTTTTGCTGATTGCATCCCCATGGTGTCACTTCATCTGTCCCTTTGTCCCACGTAGTTTCTGTAGTTAGATCTAGAAGCTTTATTCAATATAGATTTGGTTTTTTTTGTTTGTTTGTTTCAAAATCAGCTTCCCGGTGGTGATGGCACTTCATGAGTTAGCGGCTATTGATGATTATTACTTCTTGGATACATTAATTCATTAGGGGTGATAAAAAATGGTGATATTCTAATTCTATCCTTCTTTGTCTATTACCTGAAATAATTCTCAGGAGAAACTTCTCTTTGTCAGCTCCATTTATCCTGAGGTACAAATTGTACAGGAAAGACAGGATCATTGTTTGATTTTTTCTTTTCTTGATGAATTTTCAGAATCGTGAGGCGATTCCCCAGCATCCAAAGATGGCCACTGAAGGTTTTTCTTTTTTAAGTATGGTGTGAATGCATGAATTTAAACATATTTGATGAGTTTCAATCTGTTGCAGATATTATCCTTATCATTACTCATAATGTGTCCTTATTCCCAGCCCCAGTTGTGTTTGAGCACTCCCTTACTATTTGGTATGACACGATGCTCTGAGCTCATCTTTGTACATTTCTTCTCAGCCCTGGGACCAGCCAGTTCTCCAGGGAGTGCTGACAGTGTTCACAGCTATTGGTTTGGTCATTATTTCTGGGCCCTTTCAGTAGTTAGAGCCTGGAAGTATGTATTTTTTTAAAGCTGACAGACATACTTTATGAGTCTATACTGATGCTTCTATATGTGTCAAATGTGATACTTAGGGTTTATCCTTGACCTCATCAATCTTATGTCACCACCTCCTTTTAAAGATGCTAAGAATAGGGGTTCTCCAGGACAGCAATACAATGACTTATTTGATTTTGCCTATAACCCACATACTACAGTCTCAGAATACAATTCTAACACTACCACTACTGATTTGTTATAGAAATGAATTTGTGAACTTTTCTCCTGCAGTTCTGTTTGCTTTAGAAAATTTTCTGTTAGTCAGTTGGAATAATTCCTCTCTATGAGTTATGCCCCTGAATGGATGTGTTAATTCATTTGTTTTGTTTTACTTCCAATTTTAAAACTTAATTTTATTTTATAATAATATGAAATATTTACAGGATTCCAAAGTCAAATCTTCAAAGCAAGATATTCTTAAAAGTCTAGCTTCTAGCTTTGCCACTCTACCCTAATTTGTCCTTTCCCCATAAATAATTTTCCATATTTTGTTTTTCTTATTTTACTTTTTATTCTTATAATGCATATATATATTTGTATATTTAGAAATATATGCAAATGCATATATTTACTTGTAGCTCCCCTTTCATAGACAATGAATGGTAGTTTACCACACACATTTCTCTATAATTTGTTTGTTGAGACTACCTCATAGTAGCTGATAGGGATTTTCTTCATTTCTTTTAGCAATTCCCTAGTACTTCCCTGCTTGGATTTCCCATATTCATATGCCAGTCTCCTATTGATAGACATTTGGGAAGTTTCCAGAATTTTGCGATTTCTAATAGTACTGTAGTAACTATTTTTGTGTATGTATCCTTTCCTGTTTTTGAAAGCTGCATGTTGTACTTTTAAACAGAGTTGAGCTCCTGCCACCTCAGTGGCCATGGTGGGACCTTATAAGTACCTGTGCAGTGGCCGGGTGCTGGAGACATGTGGGAACGTGAAATTCTGAAGTGGGAAGTGAGGAGCTGGGGCCCGGAACCTCACTCTTGGTGAGGATCTGTCCAGCTGCATCCTAGCCCTGCCCTGACCTTTTGCCCTTCTCCCAGATCCGGGGTCACCATGTGGCCCAGCTGGACCCCCTGGGCATTTTGGATGCAGACTTGGACTCCTTTGTACCCTCAGACTTAATCACAACCATCGATAAATTGGGTGAGAGTCGGTACCCTTTCCTGTTGTTCTGGTGACTCCAGAGCCAGCTGCTGCCTGTGCCTAGTGAGGGGCTCTGAGACAGCAGTGCCTCTGGGTACTCGGGCCCAGCAAGCAGCCCAGGAGGCTTTTTTTCTACTGCACTGTCTTGCCATCTTCCCTAGCTGGACCACTATGCTCAGCAAGCTTGAGAGACTTGTCCAGGCCCGCCCTCGTGGCAGCAAGCTGGGCTCTGACTCCCACCATCTGTTCCCTGAAGACAGAGGGTCCCTGAGCTTAGGCTGGACCTGGTGGGAGGGTGCTGGGGGGACTGGTGGGAGGTCTGGGCATACTGCCGGGCCCCACCTAGGCCTCATCCCTCCCTCCTCTCTGCCGCCTGGGTTCTGCTGTATGTGTCTCCCAGCCTTCTATGACTTGCGGGAGGCTGACCTAGATAAGGAGTTCCGGTTGCCCATGACCACCTTCATCGGGGGCTCTGAACACACCCTCTCTCTGCGGGAGATCATTCGGCGCCTGGAGGTGAGCACGGTCATATGTGTAGGGCATACCTGATGGAGCTCTCTGGAGCCTCCTAGAGGGAGGGAGGGCACTGACTTTTTTGTTACAGATGCCAGGGCAGTCGTAGCTCTTCCTGGCTTCTCGAAGAGTACCCATCTGTCCCCCTAGAGCACCTACTGCCAGCACATTGGCCTGGAGTTTATGTTCATTAATGATGTGGAGCAGTGCCAGTGGATCCGGCAGAAGTTTGAGACCCCTGGTGTGATGCGGTTCTCCAGTGAGGAGAAGCGGACCCTGTTGGCCCGGCTGGTGCGCTCCATGAGGTCAGGCCCTCAGCACCACCCTGGACAGCTCGAGTGGCTGGGGGGAGGCTGCTCCAGGGCTGTATAAGATGTCCCTGGTCCTGGCTAAGAAACTAGGAGGATGCCTGGCAAGGGAAGGCAGGGCTGGATGGGCCTCACCGCTTGGCCTGTGGAGGCCCTTATGAGGAGCACTGGGGCTGTGTGCTCAGAAAGAGCTGTTCAGGTGGGCAGGGATGGTGCTCCAGGACATGACAGCAGGGCCACAATGAGCAAGGGCAGAAGTGGAAAAAGTGGCTATGGGAATGTTTGGGCAGAAAGATACTCGTGTGTATTGAGTATAGCAGGGCCCCCCTGGTGGACACACCTGGCTCTGCCTACTGGCTTCTCTAAAACTGAGTCTACCCAGGGCTGCAAGGACCTGGAGAATCACCTGGCACAGCCGCTAGGTTTAGAGTAGATCCCTGAACAGTGAGGTGTGAGCTGGAATTTGAGTTGAGCTGTGAGGAGGTCTTTGGGGTATGGTGAGAGAATTATGTGCAGTGCATGTGCAAGAGGGCAGTAGGCTGGGAGCAGGGGAGATGGCTCATAGAAGCAGTTTGACTAGAAGGTGGAGAGAAGATGATAGCTGGGTTTAGATGTAGGCAGAGGTTTTGGTTAAGCTGGGAGGACCCCAACTTCCCCTGGACCTGAGCTGCTACCTGGTGGGGACATTATGGCATCTGTGGAAGGTCCTGGACATGCGGAGGGAGGTGAATTTACAACATCCTCTGTTCTGGGCACCCTGCTCTGAGCCCTCATGAACTTCCCCAGCCTCTCCATCCTTTCCATTCTCCATCTTTTTCCTTCTTTCCCCAAGCAGGTTTGAAGACTTCCTAGCCAGGAAGTGGTCCTCAGAGAAGCGATTTGGCCTGGAAGGCTGTGAGGTCATGATACCTGCCCTTAAGACCATCATTGACAAATCCAGTGAGATGGGGATTGAGAATGTCATCCTGGGAATGCCACACAGGTAGGCCCCTTTCTCCCCTCCACAGCCTTGTCCATTCTCCTCCAGGCCTAGCATACTGAGGGGGAAAGAAGAGATAAAAATCAGAGCAGGGATGCTGGTGGGACTTGAGGGTTGAAAGAGAGTGGCCTAGAAATTTCTCAGAGTCCCTGGGCCCTGGCTTGCTCATCACAGAAAGAGCTAAGCACTTGGCCAAAGCCACATAGAACCAGGGACTAACCAGTTTCTCTCAGACTCAATTTCTCTCTTACTATGTTGCTGCTGTCCCCAGGAGGGTCAAGATTTGGGAAAAGAGTTGTATCATGCTTCTTGAGGTTCCTGTGGACAAGGAGATGTGAAGGGGCACATCCTAGGGAAATGCAGGCAGGGCCTGGGCAGGTGACCCCTGGTTGTCATCCTCTAGAGCAGGGGTCCCCAAAACCTGGGCCATGGACTGGAATGAGTCCATGGCCTGTTAGGAACACAGACCACACAGTAAGAGGTGGGTGGCCGTGAGTGAGTGAGGCTTTATATGTATTTGCAGCCACTCCGCAGCCCTAGCATCACCACCTCAGCTCTACTTCAGATCATCAGGCATTAGATTCTCAAAAATATTGAGACCAACGCCCTAGTGGGAGATCTCTGAAGGTGAGCCAAGGGTCTCTTCCTCTGGCTGCAAGCTGACTACACATTTCCCTATGACCTTGATAAAGACTTAGAAGACTGGCTTGGCAACTGGGCAGTTACCTCTGAGCTAGAGCCTGTGGTCTAATGAGGAATACAGCCTGAGGACAAATGAAGGTAGCCAGGGGTCCTGCCGAATAAGGTCCTCTTATAAGAGGATGTGCTGAGCAGTCTGGGGTTGACAAAGCCCTAGCGTTTTCTGTGACTATTTTTAGTTGCTCATGGTGAAACCAGCCCCTCAGACTGCATCAGCATGAGGATTGTCCAGGAGTTCATGCAATGCAAGAGGATCCCCATCCTGTGGGCTGTACTACCAGGAGCTGGAAGTTTGCCCGTTATAGGCTTAATGCTGTGAGGGGCTTGGAAATGCCCAGTGTCTGGTCAGAGGGTCAGGCAGAGCTGGCTCCATGGTCTGAGATGGCATGGACTTGTGAGACAGGATGGCATTCGGTGGTCAGGGGCAGCTCTGGGACTGTATGGTAGTGCTGGGCAGGCTCTGGTCCTTAGGAGGCCTCTGGGAGTTGAGGGATATTCTGGGCCAGGACTCCATAGTCGAGGAAGGGTCTTTGAGGCTGTTTGCCCAAAGAAGTTGAAGATTGTTTATTTGCCTTCCATGGACCCACAAACAGGAGAGAGGCCCACCTGGAAAAGGGCCGCCTTTCCATCACAGGGCCATGTGGGACTGGAGGTCAGGTCAGGGTATGTGTGTGCCTGGGGCTGACATCTGTTGGTGGGCTTTGAGGGGTGAGTTCTGAGTCATAGGCTGTGCCCCCATCAGCTGGTGCCCACCCCTGAATAAACCACCTGCTGATGAGAGGTTCAGGAAAAATCTCTGAAAAATCCCTGGCCCCTGGCTGCTTTCCTGTCCCCCTACCCCTCAGACCTCAGTTCCCCTGGACAAGGCCTCTGGTAACTCCTGATCTTAGGGTCATTCTATTTCCTTTTTCCCTATCTTGCTCCAAGATACTGCTGGGCTAACGTGGGAGGTTGTATGTGAACTGCTATGATGCGTTAGCAGACTGAGGCCAAGGTACTAGGTTGTACTCAACTTTTGGGGGGGGGAGAGAGATCACTCTGCCATGAGGCTGATGGCTCCCTGCTCATGAAAGCCACCTGAGTCTGAGATGTGTAGGAGTATCTGTCCGGGGAGAACTGACCAGCCAGAATTGCTAACATGTCTTATAGACTGAGACAGGATGAGGGAGCGGGACCTCTCTTGGGCTCCACTGAGGGAGAGGGTTAGTTCCCTCAGACTCCATGCTGATTTTGATAAGTCCCGGGTAGGCAGGGAGCATGGTGATGCTGGGCCCTGTCATGGCAGGTGGCCTCTGTGCCAGATGAGAGCCCATTCTCCTCTGGCTCCAGGGGCAGGCTGAATGTGCTGGCTAATGTCATCCGCAAAGACCTGGAGCAGATCTTCTGCCAGTTTGACCCCAAGCTGGAGGCTGCAGATGAGGTGGGTACCAAGCCCAGGTCAGAGCCCCTGGAGAGCTGGGTATTTGGGAAGTGGACTGGGGAGGAACTGGACCAAAAGTTTCCAGGCTTGGATAGGCATTGAGATGGGCAGACTTGCAGAAGAGTGGGAGAGAAGCTGGGGATATTTGCATGAGGCCACTAAGGCATTTTGGAGCAACTTCTGTGGTCTCTGATAGCTGGAAGAGCCCTCCCTGTTAATCTAGGCCAGCCTCCCTGTTTTCAGTTAACTCGGTTTCAGGAAACTGAGCCCAGAAAGGTGCAGGGAAGTCTTGGAGGCATTTACTTTGGCATGGGCTTTGCCTCTGTGCCCAAAGTTTTGTTCACCAGCCCAGAAGGGCGTCAGTCATTTGTTTGACCAGGACAGCCTTAGGAGGTCAGGACAGTTTCCTGTGCCCCTTGATGAGCAGAGGAAACATTTTTTTCTGCTCACACCCCATTCCTAGCATGCATGTACGTCATGTATGCCTCATACCCTGTGCCTTTGCAATGCTGGGCCTCCCCTGTTTGGTGGCTCTCCTGGTCCTCTAGGCAGTGAGCCTGTCACCCCTTTCTCTGGGCTCCCTTTGCTCTCAGATCATCTCTACTCCGGCCTTCTACAGTCTGTGCACATGTGTGCACATGTATGTGTATATGTTTGTTTATCTGTTTTGCCCTTCAGGCTGGTAGCAGGGTGAAGACAGGGACCTCATTCCCAAAGCCCTAGCACTCAGCACAGGTGCTTGGTTTGTTAAAATGAATTACATTAAATGACTGCTCTAAGGTCACCAGCACATTAAGCCAGAGCAAAACTGGAATCTGCATCTGCTGGCTTCCAGCCCAGAATTGTTCTGTGGTCCATTTTGCTCAGTCATGTTCATCTCTCTGAGCCTCAGTTTGCTCTTCTGTTCAATGAGGATAGTAGCACTTGCCCCAGGATGGTTATGAGAAATCAGAGATGGTGTGTGTAAACTGTAAAGGCTGGTCAAAGGATACTTAAAAAAGTATTTACTAGTTTTTTGGGTTTTTTTTCACTAAGAAAGAAAGAAATTATAGCATTTTTTTTTTAAAGCTTATATAATGAGAGTAAGTTTCCTTGGTGAGCCCCTTTTTCTGTTCCCAGAGGCTCCACTATGGCCAGTGTTTGTTTTGTTAAGTTTTATACTTCTGGAAATGTTCCATGCAGCTACAAATACACATATTTGTCCAGTACAGCCTTATTTGTAAAAGGCCAGAGGAGCAGCTTGCACGCCTAGTTGTTTTTACCTCTCAATAAGTTGTCACTGTTTCACAGTAGCACTCAGAGCTCTCCGAGCTTCAAGCACCCTATTGGTTTATACCATCTATTGATGGGCATTAAGGTTGGTTGCTGGAATGAATATTTTTGCACAAGTGTGTGATTGCATTGTTAGCTGATGTCTGAGAGGTTCTGTGGCTGGAGCTAAGGGAGTAGGACTGAATTACCCTACAAAGAGCTTGCAGACATCAGCAAGCCCACCTGTGGTGTGTGTGAGGGCCCTTGTCCTCTCTTATTCCATCAAATCTTTTCATCTTTGCGAAGTGATTGGTGCAAAAATTATTGCATTTTAACATATTGTTATGAATTTGAATAGCTCCATGTTTTTAAGCCATATATATTTTCTTTTCTGTACATTTCTCTTAATGGCTTTGGCACATTTTTCTATGGAGTTTTGGGCTGTATCTTACTGATTTATAAAAGTGCTTTATATATTGAGGGAGTTAGCCCTTTGCCTGCGTATGTCCAAATATTTTTCTCAGCTTGATTTTTTCCCCTAACACTGTGCATGAATTTGTTTCCTCTGTGACAAATTTATTAGATTTTAGCTGTCTTGTCTTTTATGGCTTCTGAGGTTTATACATTGTTTAGAAAGGCCTTCCCTACTCCAAGATCATAAAATGTCATGTTTTCCTCTGATATTATGGCTTCATCTGCTACATGTACATTTTTAGTTACTTTGGTGTAAGGAGGTAGGAGGGGCCCAGCTCCAGTGCTTGCCCCGAGGCCTGGCCAGGGGTCTCCACACCACTTATGAGCCATCCTCATTTCTCTGCTTTCACTGCTGCTGGCTGGCTAGCCCCTTCCTATTGGTGTCTTACTCCACTCCCACTCTGATCATTCATGCCAAGAGGAGGGTGATTGAAATGCAGAAGGGCTCTGATGAGGGAGTAGCTGGTCTGGACTCTGAACCTTTCTCAGGCCAGCCTGGAGGACAAGGAGCGGCAGTGTGCAGGGGTGAGGGGTGGCTGGAAGAGGGCATAGGTCAGGGGCAGCACAAGCCTTCCCAGGTGGCAGAATCCAGGGTCTGCCCCAGCCCCACTATGGGCTTGCATCTGTCTGCCAATCTGTCTTCCTGTCTGAGATGGGAGGGCCAAGTTTATCGCAGCCCATATCAATCTCCAGGGCTCTGGAGATGTCAAATATCACCTCGGCATGTACCATGAGAGGATCAACCGGGTCACGAACAGAAACATTGCTCTGTCACTTGTGGCCAGCCCCTCCCACCTGGAAGCTGTGGACCCTGTGGTGCAGGGGAAGACCAAGGCTGAGCAGTTCTACCGCGGAGATGCCCAGGGCAAGAAGGTGAACTCACGTGGGCCCTGAGGGGTGGGCCCTGAGGGGCCGAGTTCTGAGGGGCTGGATCTAAGCAGTGAATTGTGAGGGCCTGGGCCCTGAGGGGTGAGCTCAGAAGGGGAGGATCTGAGGACCTGAGCCCTGAGGACCTGGGCTCTGAGAGGTGGGCCCACAGTGCAAGGAGCAGGGCTGGGCTGCATAGGCTGGGGGATGGGGGCTCCTCCTGGCTCATACCCTGCCCTGCAGGTCATGTCCATCCTAGTCCATGGGGATGCCGCCTTTGCTGGCCAGGGTGTGGTCTATGAGACCTTCCACCTGAGTGACCTGCCATCTTATACCACCAATGGCACTGTGCATGTCGTCGTCAACAACCAGGTGAGGGCCTGGCTGCATGCCAAGCTTTGTCAGCATTGCACATCCTTAAATCCAGGCAGCACTTTGAGGGGAAGAATGAGATGGTCCCGATTCTAATCCCACTGCTCTGCCATGTCCCAGTGCATGATCTCAGGCCAGATGCCTGCTCTCCCCAGCCTCAGTCTCCTGGCCTGTGATATTGGGAGATATAAACATCTATCTATCTATCTATCTATCTATCTATCTATCTATCTATCTATCTATCTATCTATCTATCTATCATCTATTGATCGATCGATCTATCATCTATCTATCTATCTATCATCTATCTATCTATCTATCATCTATCTATTTATCATCTGTCTATCTATTATCAATCATCTATCACCTATCATCACGGAGAAAGTTGTAAGGACAGAGTACCGGTGTCACTAGCACAGAGGCTGAACATGTAACTAGATGCTGCCTTTAGTTTCATGTGAATCAGTCTTAGAATACAACTCTCACAGGCCTTTGCTTTTCAGGCAGCTGTGGTCAATAACAGCCCTTCTTCTGAGCCTATGAAATCCTGAGTTAACTGCTTTGTATGCATTAAGTCATTTAATCTTCACAGAATAACCCTGTAAGCTAGGAATTTAATGAGTCCTTTGATAGATGAGGAAACTAAGGCTTTGTTTGGGGATTTAAGTGCCTTGCCCAAGATTTCACAGTGAGTAACTGGTGGGACTGGGGCTCATCCAGACCTGCGCTCCTCACAACCACTGTAAAGTGATTGTAGGAGAAAGAGCAGGCACAATCCCCTGGCGCTGCTCCACCCCTGTGAGATTTGCTGCTATGTCTGATTTTCAGGACACTCATCCATTTTCCCTTCATGTCCCACATGCCACCTGGGCATACTTGATGGACCTCGAGGCAAAGACGCCCCCAAACCCCATTCCTTGACCCATAGGTCTAGCTCTGAGTAAATAGAGAGGCACTGCCAGTTCTTTCTACTTCTGCAGATTGGTTTCACTACGGACCCCCGAATGGCCCGCTCCTCACCATACCCCACTGATGTGGCCCGCGTGGTCAACGCTCCCATCTTCCATGTAAACGCAGATGACCCAGAGGCTGTGATATATGTGTGCAGTGTTGCGGCTGAGTGGAGGAACACCTTCAATAAAGACGTTGTTGTGGACTTGGTGGGTCTGGGGTACTGAGGCCAGGGCAGGGGTAAGTGTGGCCTGTCCCTGCTGTGCTGAGCACATCAGGTCTGCAGTGTCTTCAACAGTCGGGGTTGGGACAGAAGGTTTAGTGCTACCAAGAGCAATCTGTACAAAGGCTTGGGGGTGGTACATTCAGTGAGAGGTGGTAGTGGGGGTCTTTCAGGGGCCTCAAAGGATGTGCCCTGCCAGATGTGCCCCAATTGCGCAGTGACTACACCTGCACTGAGTCCCCTGCCCCCATGGCCCCTGCAGGTCTGTTACCGCCGGCGTGGCCACAATGAGATGGATGAGCCCATGTTCACGCAGCCACTCATGTATAAGCAGATCCACAGACAGATGCCTGTACTAAAGAAGTATGCAGACAAGCTTATCTCTGAGGGCACGGTCACCCTGCAGGAGTTTGAGGTGGGTGGGCAGGCCTAATGAATGCCTGGGATAAATCTCTGTAGAGCCAAGACCCTGGGGCTGTTGCTGATGTTGCCAGCCCAATGCTAGGATTTAAAGTAGTCTCTATGGTCCTTATTCCCAATAGCCCACAGCTATCAAGGGGGACAGAAGACCAAAGTCAATTACAGTCTTGTGAGATGCAGCAAATGCTGTGATGGGGAAGCCCAGGCTCAGGCAGGAGTCCAGGAAGGCTTCCTATAGGAGGTGGCCCTCAGCTACCTTTGTCCTCACAATTATCTGTGGATGCATTGGTCCTCCCGCCTTGATGGGGTTCTGAAACCAAGGACTGTGAGTCTTTCCTAAGCCTTCCTCAAGTCTTTTGCAAAGTGGGATCCCCTCTGAATTCTGTCCAGGATCCCCCTGAACCCTGAGACTTTGGTCTCTGGCTGCAAGGTCCCTGAAGGCCAGTAGACAGCAAGTGCTAGAACATGGTGAGGGGGACCAGGACTTATGAGTCCAGGTCGACCTCGCCTCTGGTTGCCCAGGGCATTGCTGCCTCCACCATGCCTTCACCCTGATTTTAGGAAGAAATTGCCAAATATGACCGGATCTGTGAGGAAGCATATGGCAAGTCCAAGGATAAAAAGATCCTGCATATAAAGCACTGGCTGGACTCCCCCTGGCCTGGTGAGTGAGTGGCAAGTGGCTGAAAGTGATTCACCTGGGCCCTGCCCAGAGGTTCCAGACCGTCTCTGAGACCCCCAAGGCTGTGTGGGGCTGATTTCTGTAGGTTGAGATAGTCTGGGATAGAGGGAAGATGGCATTAACCTCAGAGCATCTGTGAGCAGTTGATTTCTGGGAGGGTTGAGCCATGGTGAATGAACGCCAAAGTGGAGAGAGCCTGGGAGGTGAGGTGCTGAGAGGGTCTCCCTGGGGTAGAGCTAGATGCTCTGGCCCTGGGCCCTGGAAGTAGCTCTTGTGAGGAGCCAGGCAAGGATATTGGGTAAGTGTAGGAGCTGGAGCTGTGGCTGTCAGCTGTCGCAGATCCCAAGGATGAGCTCAGGCTTTGAGTGCCGAGTAGGGTCAAGGAAGAGGGGACCCTGAGTCCTGGGGAGGCAGACTGATGAGGGATCTGAGGCCCCACTGCCAACCAAAAGTACACACAGTCTCTGCCTTCTCAGGCTTTTTCAATGTGGACGGAGAGCCCAAGAGTATGACGTGCCCAGCCACAG